AGAAAAGAAAAAGGGTAGTGAGCAGAATTTGGAGAGTACTAGATGCGTATTTGGCTGCCCAGTTCCCTCAAGGCCCTGTGAGTAGCATCTTAGTAAGTTTCTCTTAGAGTCTATGTTTTAGCCTGATCTCTTTAGCATGACTGCAAAGTGGCCTTCCATGGAAGTGCACTGTTCTCTCACTAGACTCACTTCTTCCCATCCTGCACATTTATGTGTTCCCAATGGGGAGGGTGGGGTTGAGGATGGGGTGTGGGTCAGTGTAAACCCATCATGGGCACTTGGCAAACTCTTTGATATGCAGGGCATATTGATGGTGACTCAGGGATATTATCTGATGAGAAGAGACCTCTTCACCGTTCTATTCAAATTGCATTCCCTTAGCAATTCTCATCCATATTCTACTGACACCATTTGGCATCCAAAACCAAAACCATGAAGTCACAACTTTATTGAAAATACTATGGTCATGCAGCCTACAAAAACAACAGTGCATTCATTAACTTTGTTCATCTATCCAATTCATTTAACAACTATCTAACAAAATAATGCTGTGCTGTGCACAATTTCTATCTGGCAGGAAAGAACTTTGGAAAAACTGTCATGAAGACCTTACTTTAGAAAAAGGGACCTACATAATAACCATTGATGACAGGGGCCCATGCGATGCCTATGGGAGCCAGGCCAATGTGAGGCATGGGTGCCCTGGGTGGCATAGGCACCATAGGTGGCTCAGGTGGCATAGGTGCCATGGGTGCTCCGGGTGGCATAGGTACCATGGGTGGCCCGGCTGGCATACCTGCCATGGGTGGCCCAGCTTGCATAGGTGCCATGGGTAGCCCAGCTTGCATAGGTGCCATGGGTAGCCCAGCTTGCATAGGTGCCATGGGTGGCATAGGCGGCACAGGTGGTCTAGGTGGTTGTGGTGCCAGATGAACACACCAAGCAGGATCCAGAACAGGAACGGCATCATAGGGCGCACCCCAGATCACCTCCACAGGGGGGGCTAGGGCGGCAGCAGCCATGTTTCTCAATATTAGCATCCTCTGATTTCGTCTCCACTTGGCCCTTCTGTTCTGAAACCAAACCTTCAGAGGGGAAAAATGAATTGGCTTAGTGTATTGAACAGTTAACGTCATAAGAGAAAAAAACATAACATGCAATTCTATATGCCACTGAGACTTTAAACTGCAACAGGTGAAGCTATTTTCTTATTGCCGAAACATCTTAGAGGAGTGAGGGAGGGGCTCAAATATGCTAGTGGTCACCCCTGCCTAAACATAACCTAAGCCAACAAACAGCAAATTTTGGTATACGCCCATATAGAGTCCGTATTCCCAATACTAATTTCATAAAACAGGTCTACTATATTTTCAAAGGAAAAAGCGGGAGTGTCTATTAAAAGTGTCCTGGGGGAAATTTATGCTATAGAATTTGGAAATAGATGAGAACATTGCCTTTTTTCCTTCTTTGTAGTTTCTGGCTCTTTCCTTCAAAAATCCATTGAGAGGCCTATGTAAACCCAGAGAGGGGAAAAAGCAACTCAGGAAACCCTTTCTCTTTTCCTCGGAGTTTACCTTGCTTGCCTGAGGAGGCAGAGTATACGTCATCCATTCCCAACCTGAGGCTAGGCCTGTGGCATCAAGACTCCGACTTTCAGTGGTCTGCTTTGTTGGGCTGCTTTTCCAGACACCACCCACAGACATGCAGTGCATTTCGGTCACTGCACTCACACACAAACCTTGAGGCAAAGCTAACAAGCCCATTCTAATTTTTATTTTTATTTTTTTGGCAAATACTTCCTTGATGCAGCTATGATTTTCTGTAATTTCAAATAGTCACCTTTTGATCCTATGACCTGCACAATTAGTTGTCACTGCGTGAGTAAATGAAAAAGGTATTTTAAATAAACACAGGTAAGAATCTAGCCTGAATTGAGAGAACCCCCTAATCAATCAAATTCCAGAAAAGCCAACTTTTCAAAATAATATCACCAAAAAGAATAAAACATCTAAGATGTTTTTTCTAAGATGTTTACAAAAAAGCGAACACTCTCTTATGCGTTTGGTAGTTCCATAAAGTTAAATTTGTGTGACATCTGCAATGCATATGTTTGACTGTATACAATTCTCCTCTAACCTTTCCACCCTTCTTAGGTCAGGGGACTTTATTCAAAATCTTCTTTCTCTCTCTCTTTTTTTTCTTTGAGAAGGAGTTTCGCTCTTGTTGCCCAGGCTGGAGTGCAATGGCGCGATCTCGGCTCACCACAACCTCCACCTCCCGGGTTCAAGCGATTCTCCTGCTTCAGTCCCTGGGTAGCTGGGATTATAGGCATGCCCGGCTAATTTTGTTTCATTTTTAAAAGACAGTTTTCCAAAGCTTACAAATGTTTCCCCCATTACCACTTAATTGCAATATGTTAGCAATGTTTTCAGGCTGACATCAAAATCTTCCAAAAAATTAAAATTTAGGGCTACCACTCTCTACTAAGTACAGTGTTCTGTGTGTGAATTACTCCTCTTTCACCCCAATGCCTAAATATAAATTCACTCATTTAGCTAAGTACTTGTGCTTGGTTTTAAATATTTTAAATAATTTAGTACAATTGAACCTTCTTATAAAACTCAGCTCTTCTATGCATTAATTTGAATACTTCCCAGGTCAGATTGAGTACTGAAGATGACTCCATATAGAAGTGATCCTTTAGGGAAAACTAACATTCTCCCTAGAGGATACCAGTGTTACAAGGAGGTCAATCTTATTTATTGGAATATATTTACATATATATATGCATATGCATATATGTGTATGTAAATGTGTATATGTACGTATACATGTGCATACACTATTATATATGGAGAGAGAGACAGATATAAACAGATGTAGAAGAAAGAAGACAAAATTACATATTTTTCCCTTTAGGAAATCATATTTCCTCTGCTTATGAGCAATTTCCATAATCTGGAGTTTACTTATCCTATTTTCTACCATTAAGGCACCCACTGTTCAGAACTTATTTGCCAGCCATAGAAAAGACAACAGAAAACACCAATTTGAGAATGTCCAGGACAAAACCTAAGGCATGCTTTAGAATGGCTGTCCTGCCAAACTGCTTTTTCAAGATTTACTGACCTGCACTCTATCTTCAGTCAAATCCAGGCGTCCTGCAAGTATCTCTCTGAGGGGAAAAAATTACAAATGTTCAGTATTTGGAGTTGTGAATAAAATGAAATACATTAATGTGATCGGATGCGGTGGCTCAAGCCTGTAATCCCAGCACTTTGGGAGGCCGAGGCGGGTGGATCACCTGAGGTCAGGAGTTCGAGACCAGTCTAGCCAACATGGTGAAACCCCGTCTCTACTAAAAATGCAAAAATTAGGTCGGCATGGTGGTGCATGTCTGTAATCCCAGCTACTCGGGAGGTTGAGGCAGGAGAATCGCTTGAACCCGGGAAGCGGAGGTTGCAGTGAGCAGAGATCGTGCCACTGCACTCCAGCCTGGGCGACAGAGTGAAACTCCGTCTCAAATTTATATATACATATAAATTTGTACATTATTTCTATCCCCCACCTCTCCGTGCAGTTTTCTGTAATACGGTTGGGGCTCGCTTTAGGGAGGGTTTTCCCATGAACAACTTTGCTGTTAAATAAGATAGAAAAGGGGAATATATATAAAAGCGCCCGATGGTTAGCTGAATATGACTTAATTCTTCTGTTTATGAAACAGCAGAGAACAACCCTGGAAATCTTTCCTTGGGCGGTCGGTCCGTGAAAATAAACGAAATGCCAAACATCTTTAAAGCGCTGTATTGAACCACAGTATTTCTGTTTATTGTAAAAGGGAGAGGTGAACCCTCAAGGAGCGAACTCCAAACTACATCGGCCAAGCGCGCCCTCGGGGAAATTCTGTTTTGCTCTCTGCCGGGCGAAGGCTAAATACGACGAAGCCAGAAAGGTCCCCGAAACCCTACTCTGACCTGTCTTGATGTTCCGGACCCGAATTCCAGCCTGGCCAGAAAAGGCCTGCCCCTTCGTACACTACCGGGATCGGTACGACGAGGGTCCGGTGAGGCTAGCGACGGAAAGGGGTCGCTGGCTACCGAAAGCTCAAAAGTTCGCCGTCTGGTTGTAAAAGTGCGCTCCATGTGGCTGGGCGGTTATTAGAAGAAGAGAGTGAGGCGCTCACCACGCGCGCAAAATCTAAATGGCGCGTAAAAACTTATCAAGACAAATGATATTTTAATGCAATATTAAAACTTTAAAATTAATGCAGAAACAACCCATGATGAGCAAATTGCCAAAATTTTAAATAAAGTCAGGATCCGACCCTGCCTCACTCGCTTTACACTAGTACCGCCCCACTTTTTTACATCCTCCGCGCCCCTCCCCCCCTCCCACTCCCAGAAAACAAGGGCGGACCCAGCGCCCTTGAGCCCCCTACGCGGCTTTAGGCTCCAGAGGAGAGAGAAGCTGGTCCAGGGATGAACTGGGCGCCTCTGGGGTAAGTCACTTACCGCGCCGCAACGTCGGGGTATTGAATTTCTTGGAAAAAGTTCTCCAGCTCCTGCAGCTGAAACGGGGTGAACGTGGTGCGGCGGCGGCGTCTCCTCTCTGGGGGCTGTGGCCCCTCCGCCAGCTGTGGCCCCTCCGCGGCCTGTGGCCCCTCCGCCGGCTGTGGCCCCTCCGCGGCCGCTTGGGGCGGCTCCTCCTGAGGTTGCTCCGGTGGGTGGCGGCAGCCACCTTCACCATTTTGGTCGTCTGAGGGGACGGACCCTTCCGTGCCAAGGATGTTTTCTGCTTCTGCTCCTGCTCCGTACGCAGGTTCGGAGTATGCATTCTCCTCATCCTCTCCTCCCATTGCCATCAGCGAGCTCACGGTAAGTTCCTCACCTGGGATGGGAGGAAAGCAAAAGAGAGACACCAGGGGGTTGGGGCCCATGGCGCGTGGGCTGGAGGAGGCGGGGGACCCGCTATCGAAGAGCAACTGTGATAGCCGCGCCGCGTCCCATCCGCTCGCCTTTCCCAGGGAAAAGTTCCTCTTCTGGCGTTCGCGAAAGCTCCGGCCCCTGTCCAAGCACTAACCATTCTCCTCGGTGTCCTCGCCGACTGTCAGGCTGCGGTAGCCGGTATCACTGTGGGTGCACCCGCGGTAAGACTCCATTCTCAAGTGCTGTCGATGAAGTCGTGCGCTTCTGCAAACTCTGCTCGGGGTTCCGCGGCGATCCCGGGGTTGCAACTGGGACCAATGGCTCGGGCGACCGCTTCTCTGGCGCCGGGACCTCTTTCTGGCGCCGTCTGGCACTTGGCGCGCCCTTATATAGCGGTACAGTGCCTTCCACAGGTTCAAAGCGTGCGCACAGGCGTCGGTTAAACGCCCCCTATTAGCATTCACGGTACATCTAGTTGTAAGTGCGACCCCAAGGGGACGCATTCGTGGCCAGGGTGTGCAAAAAATAGGGCGAGCTTGCGCGAGCGTGGTGGGGGTAGTGTGCATGTTGCGCGGGAACAGTAGCTCCAAGTTGCAGCTTAACTAACTACTCCCAACTTGACCGGAGACACGGATTGGAAAAAGCGGCTGGGTTGTGAAAGCCGATTTGGGGGCGAGGGGGTGGGGTGAGACTGCACACCAGCCCGCGGAGAGGTATTTTAGCAGTGTTCCTCCGCCCAACTCGCTACACCGCCGCACGTGCCTGGAGCGGTGACCTTTGCTCTCCCCACGGAAAAGACCGAGAAACGGCGTTGAGGAAAGCGCGGAGCGTACAGCAGCCCAAACATGCGAAAGTGAACTTGTTAGTCTACCATGCAATTGGGTCCTGAGCACGACTTTCCCCTGTTAGAAATTGGTGACAAATGGATAGGACTATCTAGTTCTGCACAGTTCCCGCCAAAGTCAGGATAGTGATACAGTGCAATGATTGGCTAGAAGGCTGCTTGCTCTGGGTTTTTGAATTCAGAACCCACCGTGCATTCCGGGAGCGGGAATTTGGGGCTGGATTTGAAGAGCAATCCGTTGCTCAGGTACACGCTGTAAGAAATCCAACGTGCTTTTTGAGAAAGCTCCAAGGACTTAAGATTTTCATACGAACTCATGTCAGAGTAAGTATAGAAATCTGCTAAGTGCATGGTGCATCCGAGAACGTTTACACTACTGGGGGGGCGGGGGCGGTGCGGTATTTTGATGCGCCGCACTTGCTGCGCTTCTTTCTTTCTTTTTTTTTTTTTTCTGTCATCCAGGCTGGAGTGCAGTGGTGCGAGCTCAGCTCACTACAACCTCCGCCTCCCGGGTTCAAGCGATTCTTCTGCCTCAGCCTCCTGAGCAGCTGGGATTACAGGCACGCGCCACCACGCCGGCTAATTTTTGTATTTTTAGTAGAGACGGGGTTTCGCCATGTTGGTCAGGCTGGTCTCAAACTCCTGAACTTGTGATCCACCCGCCTCGGCCTCCCAAAGTGCTGGGATTACAGGCTTGCAGCGCGATTCGCAGAAGCCTGTTCTGCAGTCTCCTAAATTGCGGGTATTTCCCTGGGCTTGTGCTGTAGACCTGGGGGAGTTCCCGCTTTGCTTACTACCACTTCTTCCTTCTTCCCTCCCCTTTCCTAGAACTATCTTCCTGAGTTCTTGCTCCCCAGTGATGTATCAAATTTAAAATGCCTGGGCTATGATTGAAGGCTGTATGGTTCTCCCCCCAAGAAGTGTTTGCAGGTTCTCCAAGACGTGTTAGTACCTTAATATTATGAAAATAACTCTGTTGACTCAGTTACTCGGGACGCTGAGGTGGGAGGATGGCTTGAGCCCCGGAGGTCAGGGCTGAAGTGAGGCATAATCAGGATACTGCATGCCAGCCTGGACGACAGCAGACCCTGTCTCAAAAATAATAAGTAAGGGCCGGGCGCGGTGGCTCACGCCTGTAATCCCAGCACTTTGTGAGGCCAAGGCGGGCAGATCACGAGGTCGAGATCGAGACCATGGTGAAACCCTGTCTCTACTAAAAAATACAAAAATTAGCTGGGCGTGGTAGCGCGCGCCTGTGGTCCCAGCTACTCGGGAGGCTGAGGCAGGAGAATTGCTTGAACCCGGGAGGCGGAGGTTGCAGTGAGTCGAGATCGCACCGCTGCACTCCAGCTTGGCGACCGGCGACAGAGCGAGACTCTGTCTCAAATAAATAAATAAACAAATAAAAAGAAAAAAATAAATAAAAACCCCGTTAATAATGGGCCCTATGCTTGCCACTGTACACGATTTATCTTACTTTCACCTTGCTAACCATCATTAACATCCTGCAGTTTTTTTAAATACAGAAGACTGGGCCCCAAGGAGCCAGGCAGCTTGCCAATGGCAATAGAAGCGAGTTTTAACTACAGAATGTGTGCACTTTTCACTCTGTTACTGCTGTCTTAATTCAAAGGAGTAAATAATAGTGGGATTTCAGGTAGGAATAGGAGGAGGTGCCATTTGGGGGAGGCATAGTCTTTACAATTCCTGGGTGTGAGGGGTCTCCTCCTTCTCTTGCACTAGTCCAGGCCTCTTCCCCTTGCTCCAGGGCCTCAGCTGGATCTCCCTAAACCACAGGACTGGGATCCAGCACTGCTGGGTTCCCCTAGACCATCTCTTCACGTTTGCTCAACACGGAGAGGATATTAACAGGACAAGATGCTGCATGCACTAGTTGCTGAGCTGGTGCCTGGAAGACCTGGTCAGGAGGGAGAGGTCATGAAGCTCACCTTCACTCTCACCCTAACCCTAATCCTCATGTCAGGGCCACATTATGACTTTCGTGGGCCCTAGGCACGTTTGCCTTCTTGGGCCCCTTCTTCCATAAAAAAATTAATTATATTTTACAGCTGTGTTGGTATAAGGGTGAATATAATTTGGGATGGATTATATTATTTTTTTCTTATGATTTTAAAAGAAATTGAGACATTTTCTCTTTTCTTTTCTTTCTTTTTCTTTTCTTTTCTTTCTTTTCCTGAGACAGAGTCTTGGTCTGTGAGTGCAGTGATGCCCTCAGGACTCACGGCAGCCTTTATCTCCCCAGCTCAAGTGATCGCGATCCTCCTGACTAGCTGATACTACAGGCACAAGGGACACTGCTCTCCACAAATTTGTTTGTTGTTGTTTTTTAGTAGAGACGAGGTCTCGCAAGTAGCTCAGGCTGGTCTCTAACACCCTGCCTCCTCCGCCTCCCAAAGTTCTGGGATTAGAAGCGTGAGCCACCATGACCAGTCAGTTAAGACATTTTCATAGGCTCCTAAAAGTGCGGTGGGCCTTTGGCACTTTGCCTACTGTGCCTAATGAATGAGACCTCCTGCCTTGTATTCACTTTCAAAAAGATTTCAAGGGTTATAACCCCACAGCCTTTCTGATTTTAAGCAAGACATTTCCTCCTAAGGCTGGCTCCTGCTGAGTTCTACAGGCTTTCTTCTCTTTGGGCTCCATACTGGGTGAACAATTTTTGCCTGGGGTGTTATCACACAAGAAATCCATACAGGGTTTAATCAAGGTGTGCAGTAGCCTACCTAGTATATTGGTAAGAGTATGGATGTGTTCTGTCACATCTTAGATTTCCACGGTTTACCAATGTTTTCTAAACCTGAGTCATTCATGTGTCCCTTTGCAAGTTTTGCCGTATCTGGGTACCAGAGATGATGGTATTTACTTAACATGCTTAATTAAATTGATCTACTTTTTGAAAACCTTAAATACCTAATTAAATCTCATCATAGGCAAAAATAGCTGTTAATTTCAGAGTTTGATATACCAGATTTATGTCAAGGATGGCAACAGTTGAGAAGCAGGGACCCTGAAGTCAGACTGCTGGCTTTGCTTTCCATTTGCTAAATAACTAACTTGGTGGGTTCCATAATCTCCTTGTGCCTCAGTTTTCTCATCTATAAAATGGGAATAATGGAAAGTACCTACTTCATGGAATTGTTGTGAGGATTAATTGAAATGATAATAGCTAACACTTAGCTAATTCTTACTGTTCAATATATACTGTTAATATATACAAAGGGCGGTGCAAAGTAACATGAAATATTAACACATTTAACTCTCTTAAATGTGGAGGTAAATACTCTTATCCGCATTTTACCTATGATATTATTGAGTCACAGAGAGATTAATTTACCTAAAGGCATCCAGCTTATAAGTATTGGACCTTGGATGTGAAGCTAGCTTCTCAGACTGATGCTTTGTAGAGAGAATGTAGTGTGGAATAGTAGCTATAATGATTTTTTAAAATAAAAAAATTCAGCGATTTCTATTATACCCACAATGCTGTATAATCATCACAATTATCTAATTTCAGAACCTTGTATACACCCTATAAAGGAAGCCTGTAACCAATAGCAGTCACTGCTCATTGTCTCCCTCTCTGTTGGCCCTGGTAACCAGTAATGTAGTATCTCTATGGATTTTCCTATTCTGGATATTGCATGTAAATTGGAGTCATACAGTATGTGTCCAATTGTGTCCAGCTTATTTCACTTAGCATAGTGTTTTTGAGGTTCATTCATATTGTAGCATGCGTCAGCACTTCACTCCTTTTTATGGCTGAATAAAAATCCATTATATAAGCTGTACCACATTTTGGTTATATATCTATCAGTTGGTGGGCTTTTGGGTTGTTTTCACCTTTTGGTGATTGTGAGTAGTGCTGCTATGAGCATTCATGTACAAGTTTTGTTCAAATATCTGTTTTTAAATCTTCTGGGCATATGCCTAGGAGCAGAAGGGTCGAACGAAAGTTAAACCTATGTTTAACTTTCTGAGGAACTACCACATTGTTTTCCATGGCAGCTGTACCATTTTACGTTCCCACCAGCAGTATAGGTTTACAATTTCTTCACATCCTTGCCAACACTTATTTTCCAGATTTTTGTTTTTATTAAAGCCATCCTAGTAGGTCTAATATCTTATTGTGGTTTTGATTTCATTATTCTTTTTTGTTGTTGTTGAGACGGAGTTTTGCTCTTGTTCAAGCAGTTTTCCTGCCTTGGCCTCTCAAGTAGCTGGGATTACAGGCATGTGCCACCAGGCCAGGCTAATTTTGTATTTTTAGTAGAGACAGGGTTTCTCCATGTTGGTCAGGCTGGCCTCAAACTCCCGACCTCAGGTGATCCGCCCACCTTGGCCTCCCGACGTGCTGGGATTACAGGCATG